TCATTTCAGATGGTGAACTGGCATCAGCTGGCAGTATTGGTACAGTTGAACCGGGTATGATGAGGTATTGTGCCTAACGGGACCAGCTGAGCTCACCTGTTCCGCTCAACGTTCAAGACGGCGTTGCTGAATAAATGTGCCGTCAGACTCGCTTATTATCTCACACCTGCTTTCCTTGGTCCTGTACTCCTAATCAACTGGAAAAGAATGCCGCTAATAACAATAGCGGCAGCTTTCTCCATCTTTTTATGCTTGCCTATCCACTGCTTCTCGCGGTCATTCCTCAGACTCTTGATGAGTTTGCGCGCTTTGTCGTATTTGGAATCCGAAGGGATGACTCTGGGAGCGTCCAGCGAGGCGACGGAGTTTTGGAAGATCCATCGTGTTTTATTTGATCGTGCGCTAGAATTTGTCGTTGTTTTTATCGACCTTTGAATCGCTTCCTTGATTGTCCTCCAGCGTTCATTGAGTTCCCCGGCTGATAGTTGAGCTGAGAGCCGATCTGATAATTCCGCTTCGAAGGCCGATTTGCAACTTTCGTTGATACTCTATTGTGGGCATCCGTTTTCGGCGGCTTTTCTGTGGTTTATCAGGCGTTGAGAGAACCTCGCTTGTAGCAGAGCATGGTCCGTGTTCACGGGTATTGACCAGTTGGAGTGGCAGTCTTCAATGGATCCTCTCCAATGGTGGCTGATGGCGATTTTCTCGATTTGAGTCCAGCGCTGTGAAGAAGTTGGCGGTCTCTATGTAAGATAGTGCCGTTTATTGTGCGAGAAGTTCGTGCTTGACAGAAACAGAAACAGTCCGGGGTCATGATAAAGTTGGAGTAGGCGTTCTGCGTTGTCGGACCTGTTGGCTGGGATTGCATGTGAACCACCAAGTAGCCTTTCTGATTCGTCCAGGGATCCTACTTGAGCATTGTAGTCTCCAGCGACCACGATGTCCTTTGACCCAGCACTTTGGAGCAGATGAGAAAGGTCCTTGTAGAATTTATCCTTCATTTCTGGTAAGCAGCAATCAGTCATTGCATATATCGATATGACGAGTAAGCATCGACACCTCGTTCTGTAGCTGTTGACCCGTACTAAACCATACGCATACAACCATGAAACCTCAACTTTGGTTTCGGAGTTAACAAAACACCTGAGCTCAGTGTGAGAGAGGGAAGAGGTTACAACGGAATGATGTGAATCGGTCATCATACCGATTTACAAGAAAAGTGGCAAATCTTGTAAAAAACAGAGGAATTCGTTTAATCAACATAGTCTCTGAACTTCTCGCTGGCACCATACTCCGTTGATTGACTGCAGCACGTGAACGGTATAGG